TTTTTAATACAAATCCACTTTCAGAACTTCTTATTGGTCTGTTTAGAGTTTCAATTTCTTTCTAGTTCAAACTTGGGAGGTTATTTTTCCAGGAATTTATCTATTTTTTCTAGGTTTTCTAGGTAAGCTGCACAGAGGTGTTCATAATAGTCTCTGAGGATTTTTTTTTTTTTTTTTGTATTTCTGAGATGTTGGTAGTAATGTGTCATTTGTCATTTCTGATTGTGTTAATTTGGATTGCTCTTTTTTTCTGTTAGTCTAGTTAATCATCTATCAATCTTATTTATTCTTTCAAAAAACAAACTTTTGGTTTCATTGATCTTTTGTATGGTTTTTCATATCTCAGTTTCAGTCAGTTCAGCTCTGATTTTGGTTATTTATTTTCTTCTTCTGGCTTTGGGGTTGGTTTGCTCTTGTTTTTCTAGTTCCTCTAGGTGTGACATTAGGTTGTTAATTTGAGATCTTTCTAACTTTTTGATGTGAGTGTGTAGTGCTATAAACTTTCCTCTTAACACTGCTTTAACTGTCCCAGAGATTCTAATATGTTGTATCTTTATTTTCGTTAGTTTCAAAGAATTTTTTTATTTCTGTCTTAATTTCATTGTTTACTCAAAAGGCATTCAGAAACAGATTGCTTAATTTCCAATGTAATTGCATGGTTTTGAGAGATCTTCTTAGTATTGATTTCTATTTTATTGTACTGTGATCCCAGAGTGTGATTAATATGACTTTGGGTTTTTTTAAATTTGTTGAGAATTGTTTTATGTCCCATTGTGTGGTCAATTTTAGAGTATGTGCCATGTGCAGATAAGAAGAATGTATATTCTATTGTTATCAGGTGAAGTGTTCTATCAATGTCTGTTAGGTCCATTTGGTCAAGCGTTAAAAGTCCTGAATATCTTTGTTAGTTTTCTGCCTTGATGATCTGACTAATACTGTCAGTGGGGTGTTGAAGTTTGCCATTATTATTGTGTGGCTATCTAAGCCTCTTCATAGATCCCTAAGAACTTGTTTTATGAATCTGGGTGCTCTAGTGTTGGGTGCATATATATTTAGGATAGTTAAGTGTTCTTGTTGAATTGAACCTTTTATCATTATGTAAAGCCCTTCTTTGTTTTTTTTAATTGTTGTTGGTTTAAAGTCTGTTTTGTCTAAAATTAGAATAGCAACTCCTACACCTTTTTTATTTTCCATTTGCTTGGTAGATATTTCTCCATCCCTTTACTTTGAGCCTATGTGAGATAAGTTTCTTGAAGACAGCGTACAGTTGGGTCTTGCTTCTTTATCCAACTTGACAATCTGTACTTTTTAAGTGGAGTGTTTGGCCCATATAAATTCAAGGTTAATATTGGTATGGATAGATTTGATCCTGTCATTGTCCCAACATCATTTTTGGATTATAGTAAGTAGATTTGCATAACCAATTCCCTATTGTTGGATATATACATTGCTGCCATTTTACTTTTCTGGTGACTGGGGCTTTCGGATGAGTAGCAAGGCCAAGAATCCCCAGGAGAAGACAGAGCACGAGAAGAGGATGGTTTGCAGTAAATGTGCTGGTACCAACTGGCGGTAATGCCAGTGGCAGATGGGGTCTCAAGAAGGAAGGGAGAGGAGGGGAATCATTTAGAGTAGGACAAACAAGTGGTCTTTATTCTTACACCATTGTTTCTCTGGATTAAGGACAAAAGTAATGGAACAACCCACAGCAGCCACAGTGATGTTTTACAATGTAATTCAGACACTCTATCTCCTCTAAAACAAAGTGTTTTTTCAAATCTTGACTTAAAAAATCCAGGATAAAGGTCTAGCACCTGTCTGCTTCTCTGTATGTCCTCATTTCTACCTCAGCACCTTTGCACTTTCTGTGCCCTTTGCCTGGAATGCTCTCTCCTCAGATCTTTGCATAATTCACTGCTCATAATTCAGGTCTTTGTACCTCCTCTGCAAGATGTTCCCTGACCACTGTATCTAAAACAGCTTCCCCCTACACCACTTTCCTATAACTCTTTGCATGATTTGTTTTTCTGCGTGGCATTTACTTCTACATATTTGTTCATTTTCAGTCTTCCCTATGGAAGCATAAGCTATGTATGGAGAAGCCATGCTTGCTCGTTCACCAATGTATCCCTGGTGCTTAGAAGAGGACTTGGAATATAGTAGGTGCTCAGCATATATCTGTGGAATGAATGAATGAATCTCTAAGTTGACTTGAGGTGCTGGGGTCAACAACTATCCAAGGAGTAAAATAAGTCCACGTATTTCTGGTCCACGGTTGCTATGGTCTGAATCTCTCTCTCCCCCCAGTATTCATACATTGAAACCTAATCCCCAACGTAGTGGTGTTAAGAGGCGGGGCCTTTGGGATGTGATTAGATGATGAGGGAAGAGTCATCATGAATGGGATTTGTGCCCTTACAAAATAGGCCCAAGGGAAATTACCCCTTTCACCATGTGAGGGTAGTGGTCTTGCTTCTAGACAGTAAGAAGTGAGCAGTCTGCAACCCAGAAAAGGACCCTCACAAGAACCCAACCATGCTGGCACCCTCATCTTGGACTTTCCAGCTTTTATAACTGTGAGAAATTAACTTCTGTCCTTGATAAGCTATGCAGTTGATGGTATTTTCTTACAACAGCCAAACAGACTAAGACAACGGGGTACCACAGTGGTTAAGGCAGAAACAAAAGCATTCATTGGGATGCTGGCACCGTTACTCCCAGATGTGCAATCTTGGGTAAATTATTTTAGTTCTCTCTGCCTCAGTTTCTCCTTTTAGGAATGACAATGGTGTCTATTTTATAGGGTTCTTGTAAGGATTAAATGAGATAATGTATGTACATTGCTTAGCAGAGTATCTGGGACTTAGAAAGACCTCAATAAAAGTTTTTTTTATTATTCATAAATTAATTATTAAATCCTTCTCTCCTCATTGTTTCAGTCATTTATTCATTCAAATATCCACTCATTTATCTGTCCATTTTTTAGAGATGTTCTCATTCTTGCTACTATTTATTAAATCCATCCACCCTCATACATCTGTCTATTCATCTATTTGTGGTTTAAACAAACATTTATCAAGCTTATTTTAAAGGATTTCAAAGCAACAGTCAGAAAGAGTAGAAATATGAGGTTTAAACAGCATCAGCTTTTAAACACCTTTCTGTATCCAGCCGAGTTGTACCTGGGGCCCACTCAAGAATGAGTGCCATGCAGGACTGATGTTCAGCTGGTAGGCATTGGTATAGCTATGCCCACCCAATACAGCAGTTATTCCAAAAGCCTCCTTCTTTACAAGTCCTTAGGTAGGGGAGACCAAAGGCACTCAGGGATGATGCTGAAGATAATCATAATGATGATGATGGCAATAAAGACAGTGTACATGGGGCCAGGTGCAGTAGCTCACGCCTGTAATCCCAGCACTTTGGGAGGCTGTGGCAGGTGAATCATGAGGTTAGGAGTTTGAGACCATCCTGGCCAACATGGTAAAACCCTGTCTCTACTGAAAATACAAAAAAATAGCTGGGCATGGTGGTGGGTGCCTGTAATCCCAGCTATTCGGGAGGCTGAGGCAGAAGAATCTCTTGAACCCAGGAGGCGGAGGTTGCAGTGAGCCAAGATCGATCGTGTCACTGCACTCCAGCCTGGGCGACAGTGTGAGACTCCATCTCAAAAAAAAAAAAAAAAAAAAGACAGTGTACATAAATTTGACTCCTACTACATGCCAGATATCAATATTATTTTAAAGGATCTCAAGGCAACAGTCAGAAAGAGTAGAAATTTACACCCTTCTGTATCCCAACCAGTTGTACCTGGGGCCCACTCAGGAACACACAACTGGCCCCTTATCTCCAACATTTTCTCCTTCTGGTCCAGAGACACAGGCCCAAGGTCTCCGCTTCCATCCCTCCATCTCTCTGCAGCCCAGGGAATCCTTTGCTCTCTCAGCTTGTATCAGCATTTAGTTTGCAAATAGAGTTTATCTCTTCTGGGTCAGGAGGGCACACTTCACCCCAGCCTGAAGTGCTGCTGAAATCTCTTTGTCTATTTCACGTTAGAATATCGTTCCCTGAGGTGCCTAAAACACTCAGTGCTGAGGCCACCTCCCCCACCCAATCCAGCAGTTATTCCCAAAGCCTCTTTCTTTATAGATCCCTAGGGTGGGGAGACCAAAGGCACTCAGGAATGATGCTTCAAAAGATCATAATAATAATGATGACATTAAAGACAGTGTCCATGAATTTGACTCTTACTACATGCCAGGTATCAAGAACAGTATTCAAACATATTTCACAACCAGGACAACCCAACCAGTCAGAGTGGATGCTAGCTGCAGATAACCAGCACAGCTATACCAATGTCTACCAGCTGAACATCAGTCCTGCACGGCATATCTGTCAATCAATGAAACCCCTCAGCAGGCTAGGAGGCAGTAATGTGAGCCCATTTAACAGATGCAGAAGTGGAAGCTCAGAGAGAAAAATATCACTTAGAGAAGAGATAAGCAGATCTGGGCTTTGCTGAGTCCTGAACTTGTTTGCTTACTGCCCATTTTGTGTATCTACATACTTATTTGCATCTATTATGAGAATATTTGCTTTACTTATTAAACTGTGATTTTTCTCATTCTTTACATTTCGAAAAAATTAAAACCTACAGTAAAGTTAAAAGAATAGTTTACTGAACACATACACCCTTCAACTAGATTCATGAAATTATCTGTTGCCCTCCCTCTCTCAGAAACACACACACACACACACACACACACACACACACACTTACACATACACCGAGTCATCTGTTCCATAATGACATTTCAGTCGATGGAACACGTACATGATGGTGGTTTTGTAAGATTATAAAGGAGCTAAAAACTTTCTATTGCCCAGTGGTGTCTTTACCATTGTAACGCTGTACTGCAATATATTACTCAAGTTTTTGTGGTGATGCTGATGTAAAAAACCTACTGCACTTCCAGTCATATGCAAGTGTAGCACACACACCCTCCTACAAAGGCATGTCTATAGTTTCTTATCTTCGGACATGTAAGAATTGGAGGCTCAGAAATGTGGACTTGGAGAAATCTGGGGCCAACTTTGTGCTCACAGGCTCGACATCAACCATGCCACATAGAAGAAAAAAATGAAAAAATATTTTACAAAAGTATAGCATATACAATTATGTACAGTATGTAATAATAATAAATGACTGTAACTGATTTATATATTTATTATACCATACTTCTTGTCACTATTTTTTAGTGTACTCCTTCTACTTAGAGTTTTTAAAAGTTAACCATAAAATAGCCGCAGGCAGCTCCTTCAGGAGGTATTCCAGAAGAAAGCATTGTTATCATGGGAGATGACAGCTCCATGCATGTTATTCCCCCTGAAGACCTTCCAGTGGGACAAGATATGGGGGTGGAAAACAGTGACGTTGAGAATCCTGACCCTGTGTAGGCCTAAGATAATGTATATATTTGTGTTTTTGTTTTTAACAAAAAAAAAGTTTTAAGAAGTTTTAAAAATTCATAGAATAAGGATATAAAGAAAGAAAGTGGCTGGATGCAGTGGCTCACGCTAGCATGTTGGAAGACTAAGGCAGGAGGATCACTTGAGGCCAGGAGTTCAAGACCAGACTGGGCAACATACGAGACCCTGTCTCTACGAAAAATAAAAATAGCCTGGCATGGTGGCGTGCAACTGTAGTCCTAGCTACTTGGGAGGCTGACGTGGGAGGATCACTTGAGTCCAGGAGTTTGAGGCTGCATTGAGCTATGATTGTGCTACTGCATTCCAACCTGGGCATCAGAGTAAGATCCTATTTCTTATACATAATATATTAATATATAATATAATAATACATATTATGTAAAAATATATTTCCTATATAATAAATATTTTGATTATACATTATAATATAATATATTATAAGACATTATACATTACATGTTAATATATAATATTTATGTGTATATATACACCTATGTGTGTGTATATAAACACACATATATTTTGTATAGCTATACAATGTGTTTTTGTTTTAAGCTAAGTGTTATTACAAAAAAGGCAAAAAGTTTTTAAAAACTAAAAACATTTATAAAGTAAAAAAGTGGTAGCAAACTAAGGTTAATCTATTATTAAAGAAAGAAAAGTAAAAACTAAAAAATTGAGTATAACCTGTGTGTACAGTGTTTACAAAGTCTATAGTAGTGTTTAGTAATGACCTAGGTCTTCATGCTCTCTCACCACTCACTCACTGACCCACCCAGAGCAACTTTCAGTCCCGCAAGCTTCATTCAATGCAAGTGCCCTATACAGGTTTACCCTTTGTTTTTCATATTGTATGTTTACTGTATCTTTTCTATATTTAGATGCACAAGTACTTACCATTGTGTTACAATTGCCCCCAGTATTCAGCACGGTAACATGGTGTACAGGTTTGTAGCCTAAGAACTACATACGCTCAGTCATATCCCCATCGTTAAATGACACGTACTGCATACATACACATATTTTTTATTCCATTTATAAGTAAGTTGAAACTACCATGACAGTTCATCCCTAACTACTGCTTCCAATTTACACTGATCACACAGCACCACACATAATCCTGTTCCTGAAGCCCATGAAAGGTCTTCCTTTACCGCCCAGCCAGAAGTGACCACACCTGTGCTCCTAGACGTGCTCCAGATGCCTGTTGCTCACCTACGCCCCCTAATGGGAAACTCCTCACCTACAACCCTGTTGATGGGAGCCCATCCCCTGACAGAGGGACCAGGGAGATCTCTGTCCTACAGGGATCCCAGCCACCAGCTGGCAAGGGCCTGTGATTTGGGTGGGATAAGTCAATCAGACTGTTCCTCTTAGCAACTTCAACTGAGAGGAGGCATCGTTTCTGGGGAGTTACAGGCACTAGAACTTAAAAGCTCAGGTGGACTCAGGAGCTACTGTAAAGGTTGCAGTCATGAGCAACCAAAAGGAAGATGAAACAGCTGCACAAATGTAATTTAAAAATGTTTATAATAATAACAACTAATATTTATTGAGCATATAGTATGTGCTAAGCATAGAACAATTATCAACTCATTTTATATTGCCAATGGCAGTATATACATTATCATCTCACCTGTTGAGATTAAGGCACAGAGAAGCAAAGTAACTTACCTGGGGACACACAGCAAGCAACTGGAAGAGCCTATTTTTCTTACCACCATCCTGTTGGTTCCTGGTATGCACCTTGCCCTTCCTGAGGCCTACTGTTCTGCTTTCTCTAGACTCCCAAGAGATCTTTTTGCATCTTACAGCAAAGCCTCAGTTGTACTGGAGGTAATCAGAAAGGGTTTCTATTGGTTCCAATCAAAAGAAGCCTGACTGAAGCACCTAGACTTAGCTGGGACTGGGTTTCCTCAAGATTAACACTCACTCTCACCATTCTGACCGATTGCCTGCAAGTTTGCAAAGGGAGACTCACAATTTCTGGGGAGCTGAGAATGAGGCACGGAGACTAGTTATACATAAGCCATTATCAATAATTTTATATGCACACACTCTGTTGGATGGCTTCCTTATTCAGATGTCACTTTCGCTTCCTTTTGTAAATGCAAAAGAAAAATTATCGGGGCTCTTACACTTGCACTGGTGACCTTACACAACATAACCCAATTTCCCAGAAAAGAAAAGGACTTGAATTTTCCCACCACTAAGCTTTTCAGGGAACTAAAGCTTGTTTGATTAGGGAGAGACTTTTTTTTTCTTTTTCTTTTTTTACTGTACTCAGGTAACCAACTTTTAGAAAATTAGCATTCTTCAAAGTACAGATAACGCAAATGACAGCAAACATAATTGAATGTCTCTCTGATGATTTAGGAGGTACTTCTGAATGTCACTCCCCTTTATTCAAGACTGTAAAAAAAATCTGTCTAATAAAATTAAAATTTTACATTTGCTTGTTAGAGCCTTCTGGGTGTTACATGGTTGTGGGACTAAGTCCAAACATAAATGTCACATCTAGTTTCTTGGGCTGTTTACCAAAATCATCTGAGTCACATTGAATGGTGAAAGAAGACACTCGGCCCACTGTCTGGGGTCAGTCTACTGATCCTACAGTAGAATGCCACTTCCAAGCTGGTCGTATGCCTAGACTGGCTCCTTTAAACAGTGGGATATTAGCACTGAATTCCAAGGGAGTTGAAGAGAACCATAATATTTTCATATTTGGGAGATGACAATTCCCATCAAGCAGAGGAATTTGAAGATTCATAGTTTGTATGTCACATTTGTTACACAGTGTCTTGTGCCTAGTAAGTACTCAGTAAATGGTAAATGGTAAATTCTCATAGTAGGAAAATGTATTAGAGCTTGAGAGAAGCCAAAAATTTATTCTTCTGGGTAGCTCTTAAATATTCCAACTTGCATTAGTTTTCCTAGCAGATGGAAAATCTATTTTACTTCACATTGTTCCTTTTCAGAGAACAATTCGAGTCTCTCTTAGTGGATGGAGAAAGATGCAGAGAGAAGCAAGAAGAATGAAGGAGAGTAGAAGCTGTAGGTTCAAGGAAGCTTTGGTACCACAAAAATTCACAGGACCGGAGGGCAAAAGCCTTGGGTTTGTGTCCTTACTCTTTTCAGCCAGCTCTTGGAAGTGACGCCTTCCACTATGGGACATGGCTTGGTGTTATGAACTGTTTTAATGAAAACCACATCTGTTCCTTTTTCAACTTTCTCCACTAGCTTATTTTTTTATTTATCCAGTGTTTATAAGGCATCTACTGTGAGCCTGAAACTGCTCTTGTTGCTGAAGAAATACCACCAGGAAATGAATCAGACCTAGATCTGCCTTCACAAAACCTTTCAAAGAAGTGCAGAGTTATGACAGGAATGCATGATGACCTCATCTAGTCTTGGGGGTAGAAGGGAGGAAGTTCAGGGAAGGCTTCCTGGAGGAAGTGACATTTAATCTGAGACCTGGAAGATAAGAAGTTAGCATTCAAGTTTTTCCTTGAGGAGCAACACAGAAAAAATGTTCCACCTTTCAAATGTGAGGTTAGCTCTCTAGCCTCCTTTCTTAGCACTGTCCTATGCTGTCACTCTACTCTGACCACAGTGGTCCACACTGAGGACTCATCTCCCATAATAACCTTCTCTTTCCTCAGAGCACGTAATTCTAGGCCCTTTATCATCCTAGCTGACCCCACTATCAACAGGCTTCATTTTGCCAAAACTTATAAAAAGGTGATGCATCTTCATTAATTTTTATCCTTGAACTCCCTACCAAGTGAACCAAGGATGAAAAATTATACATTGATGGCAACAACAACAACAACAAAAAAATCAGAGTTTTCTTATATACACAAGGATCCACATCGGGAGTGCTTTTCTTTCTATTTGGAAGTGTTTCTAGAAATTGAATTATATGCCAAGTAATGAGCCAGATACTGAGAATAAGATGATTTCATGCAAGTCAGCTTCCCCAGGAAGCAGAAGTCGGGAGAGACTTCGGAATTCAAAGGGGTGACTGGGGAGTTATACATGCAAAAAGGAAAGGGAGGAAGCTGAACTGAGCAGGAGGAGACATCAGACACAACTGCGGACCTGATAAAGTCTCTACTAGCCAAACGGGGCTCTGGAATAAGCACTGCCCATTAGAGGAGGGACCCATTGAGCAGAAATGAGCAGGTCTTGTACCATCCACCACCTTTCTGAGTTATAGATTAGGGGCTGTCTTGAGAATAGCATGCCCTCACCTCTCATCATCTTGCTCAATCATTGGCCAGGGGTTCTCCTGAGAATACTGTAATCTTAGTTTAAAAATTGAGGCAAATACTGATTAAGCAAATAGCTGTAGGTTGTCAGTTAGCCTCGCCTCACTCATTGAAACTGGGCAATGAGTCCTTTCTTGAAGGAAGATCTAAACAGTACGTCTCCACATCTGCCACAAGGGTACACAAAAATGAAAAGATTGCTGCCCTGTGGAAGCCTGTAGCCTGGGGAGACAGACTCTGAGCCGCTAATTACACAACAAATATTTTAGTAATGATTATAATTTTTTTAAAGAAAGCATTCTTGTACATTGAAAACTACAAAGCACTGTTATAAAAAAATTTAAAAAGATCTAAAGAAATGGAAACATAC